AAGAAAGCATCCCCTTTGTAATTCAACATAGCCAATGGAACAATTCTGACCCTAGTGAAGAACACCGGAATAGTAGTGTAAATATGATCATAACAGACCCACATGGAGAAAGTCACTGTATTATGTGTGAGCTTTCTAGAAAACAGGCATGAGCAACCACTGGTATACTAAAAAAAGTGGCCCTTGTGAAAAGGACACAGTGGCCACTTAGGTTGTAGGGACCTTCAATGTAACTATGACCCTAAAGTGTATGGGAGTGTGGACTATTGAAAAACCAGGCCAACATGTAGAAAATTTTCTTGTGATACCTGTACTAGCAACCAATCTTTTGCAAGCGGGGTTCTTTGTAGTTAAAAGGGATCAAGTCCAAGGGTTATTTTATTTTAATTTATTATTAAGGATTCTGGCTAAATGCTATGCTCCTGAAGACGGCATAACACACACACACCCATAATATAAATAAGTGTAAACAAGGAAACCAAGCTACAAATATTATATGAAAAATAGAGCCCACCAACCTAAAAACATTAATATAAACACATTAATATAAAAACATATTAATATACATAGTAGTAAATCAAGGCATGAATCTATAATATTGTTGTACATAGATCCACAATTGAGACAATAAAATCAAGTCTAATGTTAAAATGTATCACTCATATCAGTAATAAAGGATATTTAACTCTAATTGCCTCTGCTTTGTAAGCAAAAATTGCGAGACAGTTTAATCTGTTTGCTGTAAAAGCCAGATTAATTTCTCTCTCTTTGAGAAATGTATCAATTTTTGCAAGTACGGTAATAAATAGGTTCTCCTTATGTCATTATATAAAGAACATTCCAATACATAGTGGATAGTATCTTCCATAACTCCTAGACAGACTGGGTAATATCTTTTAGACCTTGGAATGGAAAATCTACGTCTAGCCAGAACAGCTGTGGGCATCTGTTTGGGTTCTGAGTCTGGTCAAAGAGGATTGCTATTTATTATTGAGATCCAACTGTAAATACCTTTCTGCCCCCAAATCTAATTTCCATAGAGTATATAAAGGGGCAATGTGAGTAGCCCTAGCCACTGCAGAATCATTCTGCCTGGCAATATCTCATATCCTCTGGAAAACCCAAACCTTTTATATGTAGAAGAAAGATTTTTCATTATCTTTGAAATAGTATCCCAACCCAGAAAGTGCAAACGTGAGGGAAAGAAAAGCTAACCGTGGTGATTGGAGAGGAGGGGGATTATTAATAATTTCTACATAGCATAATTTAAGCAGACGAGATGGTAAAAGGGGCAGGATTTTAAACCAAAATCCCGCCATTCTAATAATAATATTAGTTAAAATAGAATCCATTCCCATCTCTAATCTCAGAAAAGATGCAGGAGTTGAGGGAGGAAGAGCCAGAAGAGCCCTAAGAAACTTGTTCTTAGGTATGTCTACATCATTACTAGTGGCATAACCCCATACTTCAGCGCCATATAAGATATGAGAGGTAACTTTGGCTTTGTGTGCTGATATAGAATCATGGACTGATCATACTGCTGTGGTTTCATAAAAATTCTGCTGTGGTTTCATAACATTTCAAGACTGGTTACCCGCATATTCCATGGATATCTCATCAAATGACTTCCCCAATACATTATTTTGGATTTATCATAATTTATCTTTAAGCTATTTTCTCCACAAAGATGCTCAAAAATTGTAATTGCTCTCTGTAATCCAATAGGAGTTCTTGACAGTATAACAGTGTCATCTGCATACATTAAAATAGGAATTGGGGTTACTAATAATTTTGGGGGATGAAAATGTGCATCCTGCATATTTCCAATAATACCATTCATGTAAAGATTAAATAAAAAAGGGGCAAAAATACATCCTTGTCTAACCCCTTTTTGTATGTGAAGTTTTTGTGTAAATTCACCATTCAAGCCCCACTTAATTTGGGCCCATGCATCTTTATAATATTTTATCAACAAATGCAAAAGAGAAGAGTCAATCCCATAATTCATCAGTTTCTCCCAAAGTTTACTTCTCTCTATACTATCAAAAGCTCTTGACAAATCTACAAATGCAATATACAGTGCTGATTTGTGCATTTGCTTATACTTATGTCTCAAAAATTTAAGAATATGGAATATCTATCCCTAAATCCGGTCTGATGTTCATGTAGTATGTTTTCCCCTTTCACCCATGCTATGAGATGATATAACAAATGGCGCCCAAAAATTTTGGCTGAAACATCTGTCAAACTTATAGGGCGATAAGATTCTGGCTTATCTTCTAAACCTATTGTGGTAGTCTGGATTGTGATGCCTCTGTATCCCTATATTGTTGTCCAACGAACTGTTGCTACCCCCGAATTTCCCGCCTGCCATGTCTTGGATGTTATTATTATATATTCTAATTTTGGATGTCACTAGTTGGGAGGGTTATTATTTTATTATTTATTTGTTTGTTTGTTTGTTTTTTGTTCACTCGTTCTTATGATGTCCTTGTTAGGGGTCCCTGGATATTATGCATAAATTATCTCTCACGTGCTTCCCCAGATATTAGCCCGCACTCTAAATTACATATATAATCACAGTCTGATTCAGATAAATACTTGTCTTTATTCTTGTCTTTTATCACTCTGTACAATTTTTCTTTATATTCAGACAAAAACTGTCATTCTGTGTCCTTCTCTCCCTTTAACCTCGTCTATAATACCAATTTTGTAGCTCTACTTATATAATGCCCTTATCCTCTCGCTATTAACTTGGATGAACAGAACTTCGTATTCACAATTAAAGTCTCTCTTTGTTTTGTTTGCTTGTTTCCTATTTTCTCGTTGTGGTCTTTTATCCACAAACCACTCTATATACACTCTCTTTTATTTTGTATATGATTGATGCCCCGAATCCTTTTGAAAGGGCAATCTGGTACAGTCTCTAAACTTGGGAGCACAAGCCAACTCTACTCTCTTCTTTTCTTTGTTTCCCTTTTTTTTTTGCCCGCAGCATAAAACATCCCAGTTTCTCTCACTGGGGATCTGCCCCTTGCTCTAGGGGCTCCGTTCTCCACGCGGCATTGCTAGATGCTTTTCAGGTAAGTTGTAGATCCCCTGGGGATTCTCTCTCTCCCTTATTTTCTCCTCCAAGCTCTGCTTTTTTTCCCCATTGGAACTCCTGTCCTGCTGCCTCACACCAATCTTGGAGCTTCTATCCTAATATGGTAACGACTCCGGAAGCAGCATTTCCTGGGTCTTTTCATTGTGTCCTCGCTCACTCCTTCACACCTATCTTGAAAATCAGTACAATAATGCTCCTTTTCCAGGAATCTGGGATTTGGACCAACTCAGTTATAGAGTTATACCATTTTTCCAAGATCGGAGCCCACCATTTGATGTTATCAATGTAAACTTCTACCAATATTTTATCTGGGCCTAGGACTTTATTCTTCCATTGTGCTTTGAGGAGATGTGTGTCCCAGGAAAAGAAGTAACGGAGGGTACTCACTGGCAGCACGAGACACAGCACAAAAGGGGGGAATGAAGAACTGTGCAGCTCGTCAGCCACCTCTTTATTCAATTACAGCTGGCCAAAGATGTCAGCTTCAGAATCTGTCTTCATGTTCACTGAAGACATATTCTTTGGGCAATTAAGCTATGAAGATCTAGTTACACTAATAAGCATATACTACTTGCAGTTCTTCATAGGCTTCTAACTTGGTCAAGTTTGGCAGAGTTTCACAGGGATGGCCAAAGTCACATCTCTGACATGAAGGGCACAACATCCCAAATTTCAAGTCCCTGTTCCAAAGCATGAGGACACTAGGGCTTCTAGAAGAAACTGGGACTTTTTTTAACAGGGGGCAAAAAATGTATTTTTCCTTAGCCTTGATCTTGGAAGCAATTGAACCTTTTGGCTGAAAATAATTCAGTCCTCAGTAGATACACAGTGTAGAAAGTTTTAGTCACAATGGTAAATGTTTGGTAAAAATATCTGGGTTACCTTAATAATGTAGACCATTAGTATTTGATTGTTTTTTGGCAGAAAGGTCAAGGACTGAATGGACATAGAGTAAAGCTGGAAAATTACACTGTTCAGAGATTCTCAAGGAGTCATCAACAGGTCTTTGAAAACTTCCAGCTACTAACCTTGTTATAACAACACCTCTGTAGAATACACAGTATGTTTTGCTTCGCAAAGTAGTATTATGATGGGGGAGAAATGAAAATGCATGTGCTTCTTATCTACACTGAATCAAAACAGAATATAAAATGTAAAGCAAAGCTTAAATGACACAAACAGGCACATTAAATAAAATGCTAGTAAAGTAAATCTCTGGGGGAAAATGGTTCAAATGCAGCCTGAAATTCTTTTAGACAGTACAATGTACTTGAACTGAGAAAAGAAAGTTGTGCTATGAGTCACACAATGGCAGATAAAATCATACTTCCAAAACTTATAAGCAAGCTTCATGTAAATCTTTTATGCCACTTTACTTTTCATCTGATAAATATTTAAAGAATAAATTTGTCTTTTCATGATCACTCATAATCATAATTGTGACTGAAACTTTAATGTAACACATGAAAGAAGAGAGCAGGTTTTCTGAATACTGTACACTGGAAGTAACTTTACCTCTTGAAGATTTCTCTATCATAACCACTATGATAAAATATCACTTAAAAACTCTCATGCATAAACTTTCATAAACTATAGCTCTCATCTGGCAAAAGCTTAAGCATATGACAACTGCTTGTATATGTAAAGTCTATGTATGTTTGCCTGGATTTGGGGTCTAAGTGGATTTTTTATATTTATATATAAAGATTAGATTTCTTTGTATGCAGCTGCTGATCCAATTTGCTTATTTTCTGCCAACATCTCTTCTCGTCTGCGCTGCCCAGGGAAACTCTAGAGCATAAGTCCCACCTCTCAAGTGGAAAGTTCATAGCAACCATCAATCAAAATTTGTTGCCTCTGGCAACCAACAACAAATCTGCCCTAGTTAGTCACAGGGATCAGGGATGATGTGAGATGTGGTTATTATTACACTGATGTTCCACTGAGAATTTCTGGCATCAGGAAGATTTAATATGCAGGAACTTCCAGAAAGAAAGTAAGTATTAAGTAATGTCTGAGGGGTAACTAAAAGAAAACAGCCAACTCCAGGATTAATTTAAAGCTCCTCCAGCTTCCTCATGTCCAGTTGCTGTAACTTTAGAGGAGGAAGATGCCCAGAGCCAGCTTTAAATCTAATGATCAGAAGATTAAACTCTTCATTTTTTGAGATGGGCTTGTTTTAATTATGCAGGGCAGCTACATGCTGAAAACTCTAGTACCAAGTATCGCTTACAATCCTTTGTGATTTCTCTGGTTGAAAATTTGCAGAGGTAGAAATTTTAGTGTTTGCTAATTTTATAATTGTGCTAATTCATATATTTATTGCTTTTATTTGTTACAATTATTTAGTTACTTCTGTAATGCTGTGAGCACCTTGGCAGCAGATGAGGGCTTATCCCAATAAACTGGGAATTTCATTGAGATACTAGACTTGATTTCTCAGTACCTGAACACAGTAATTATTTGCAAAACTGATGTAAAATGCTTCTATTTTAACTGAACTGAATTTTCTGCACTGTTGCAGCATGATACAGGAGGTGAAAGGCAATAAGGAACAGGAAGATGCATAAACAGTAGCATATGTGGCCCAATTCATGCCTTTCATAAGGAGATAACAGAATCATTCTGATGATGATTGTATGGTTTACAGCTTGGGAAGGGAATCTGGACTTTAAACTTCCTAACCCAATGAGGACCCAAGATCAGGACAAAATTCCGAGGTTTAGCTTTCAGTGGCTGCTGAGGGGGAAAGAAAGATTTCTTTAAAGAGAAGACCAAGATGCCTATACTTTATGCTTCAGTATTCACAAAGGGGCTGATGCATCAAAGAGAGGTTATTCCTCAGCTCTGTATCTTCCATGTGTACAGAAGGGGCTTTTGCACTGTCTGTGGGGAAGAAAAAGGCTGCTGTCTTTTCCCAGCACTGGTCCTTCCAGTAAAACTTTTATGAAAGTTCAACAATTTCCACACCCTTGGAGGACATAGTGGAGGACATGATCTGGCCAATTTGTTATTCTCTCTATTTTTCTGGTGCCCTTTGAAAGACACATGGTATTTTCAAAGAAGTCAAGTCAGAGGTCATCACTGGCTTGGCTTGACATTTAGACACATATTTTAGAAAAAGAAATAGGAGGCTGACATTCACTGGTGAAAAACAGAGGGAAGGTGAAAAAGAGAGGGAAACCTTTTGTTTACCACAAATTTTTAGAGCACTATTTCTCTCTCTCATTCCCTGTCATTTATTCAGGTTCTAAAAATAATTCCCCCATTCCATCAATGCAAAAAACACAAACTATTTATAATGCATGGCTTTAACACCTGCTGCATTGCAGCAGTCACCGTGCAAAAACTATTGACAATGTAACTATTACAGCAAACTGGCTTCCCTGACCATTTCTTTCAGGAAGTACAGTGGAGAAAAAATTCTAAATTCACTTGGTAACCTATGAGGTTTTTTTCCCCCTCAGGCATCTTGAAATCAACATGAGTCATTGCCCTGGGTGGCATGAATCCACTGAAGTCAGGGGAGTTGTGCCGATTTATGCCACTCAAGGATCCAGGCTGTAATTCAGTATATTTATTCTCATTCATGTTACCTGTGGTCTGAGAAGAGTTTAATTGTGGCTACATAAGGGACATGTAGCTGGGCTGCTCTGATGCACTGTAATTCAGTCTGCTGGTAATTATTGCACTCCAGCAGACTCCAGCATCATGTGTATCAGAATCCCTGCACTGAAAAATGGGGGGAGGGGGAGAGAGAGAGCACTTTAATTAAAGCTCATTCAACAAGCTTTAGTTAAAGCAGCCCTACCACCATTTTTCAGCATGGGGATGCTGATACAGGTGATGCTCTGGTAAATATTATACTTCGCCTGAGCACTTGCAAGCACATAAAACCTCAATGGAAGAATAGAGTGGGAAAAAGCATTTTTGTTAACAGACAGAAACAGTTTATGCCTTCATAATTGAGGCTGGATTTGGGAAGACTTGGGAATTTAAGGAGAATTTGGGCCAAGTCTTGAGTGATCCCATCCCTGTATATAAGTTTGGGCAAGAGCCATACAAAATGTAGTTGTCCCACAGGATTCAACTTGAAGCCAGGTGAATTCCAGTGATGTCAGCTGAAGTGTGTCTGTGGTTTTGGATTCATCCAAACCTGAGTTGAAACCCCAGGGTCCCAGGACATAAACTGATATTCAGAAAACCTGAAGAAGGCCATAGTCATCAAGTGTTGGCCTGCTCAGTTTGGGTCTTAATTCTACTACCTGGTCTCATACAGATGAGTACTGGGGCAAGGAGTGTCCGCTACAGTGTAAGACCTGATTCTGACTTGGAATGTCTATTCCCTGGGGACAACTGTTGTTTCCAGGGGTCTGTCCTGGGCCTGGTATTGTTTAATATCTTCATTCCCATGAGCGTTCTCATGAGTGGGGATGTGTGTTCTCTGGGGACAGCTATCAGTGGCACATATTTGTCTGGTGCATGGCAAATTGCATGCAACCAAGGTGGGGTAGGGCAAGCTGGAGCCAGCACCTAGGCTGGCCTCAGAAGCCTTACCTTGGGTCCTGGGGGCCTCCTGGGGCTCCAGCACTGGCAATCTAGGGGCACAGAGTCTGGCCAACAGCCAGAACATGCCTCTGTCTGGCCAGGTTCTGGTTTTGGGTGGCACATGTGACCAACACATGTGTCACCCCGCTTTTTTCTGGCATAGGCTTTTTTTTTTTTTTACACAGAGATCTCCTGGTGTCAAAACCCTCCCTGCTGTGTTGCCAATTAGCAGCACAGTAAATACTTGCATGTGCAGCGTGTGCAGTTTGTAGCACCACAGGTGGGTCTTTGGTGCTGCAAACTGCATATGTGCACTTATCTGGACATGCCCTTAGGTGCTAAATGAATGACAGATAGGCTCAAACTCCAGTGTAAATTATTGTAGGTTAACTATATTTGGAGTTTGTCTACACTGTGTCATAAAATACAGAGGGCCTCACACTATGGTGAAGGTGGAATGATTCTTCTTCAGTCAAATAACAGTGTTACAATAGCGGGCAACTGGTATAAGTAAGGTTGCCTCAGGTTGTGGGCCCCCAAAAGTAGTACATTTGTCTAGAACTGGGATTCAGGAAAATGAGCAACCTCACAGCACATGGCCCACCAGGCTTTTCACACCATCAGGCTTTTCACAAGAGACTGTAGAAAGAGCCACAAAAGTTGTTGGAGGCAGTCTAGGTGGAAACAAGAAAACAAGGAATAGGAGATGCAGGGTAGAACTACTAGATACAATGTAGTGCTATCTGAAGATACACAAGCTGTCTTTGACACTGTTTCCCACAACATTCTCAGGAACAAACTAAGGAATTGCAAACTAGACCAAAGTACTGAAATGTGGATACTTAACTGGTTGTATGATCATGCTCAACTAGGAGTTATCAGTGGCTCAATATCTAGTTGGGAGGCAGTGTAAAGTGGAGTTCCTCAGGGGTCTGTCCTGGGTCTGGTATTATTTAATATCTTCATTAATGATTTGAATGATGGGATTGATTGCACACTTAGCAAATTTGTGGATGACACTAAGTTGGGTGAAGTGCAGGGCTAGGATCAAGAATGATCTGGACAGATTGGAGAAATGGTCTGCAATCAACCAGATGAAATTCAGCAAGGACAAGTGCAAAGTCCTGCACTTGTGACAAAATAATTGCATGCACAAATATAGACTGGGGAATGACTGGCTGGGTTGCAGTCTTGCAGAGAAGAACTTAGGGTTTACAGGGCATGTCTACACATTGCTGTACAGCGATGTTGCTATGGAACAGTGCTTTAGTACTTCTGTTTGGAAGTACTAGAGGACGGCACAGTATAGGTGGTTACTGTGCCATGTCCATGGTGCATGGTTAGATTTCGCCACTAAGTTGCCATAGCAGTGCACTATAACTGGGGAGCACGTTGCTATGGTGACATAGCTGTTGATTACAAGTAGACCCATGTGATCACTACATTACTGTAGCACACTATATGGCAATGTAACGGGTTGCTACGTCGCCATAGGCTGAAGTGTAGATGCACTCATTGTATACCTTTTAAGACTTAAATCTCCCTCATTAGACTCAAGGAACCCTTTGTTAGATTCAAGGTACCCCTTGGGAAATGCCAGCTCTTAGTTTTCACTCATTTTTTGACTAGAGAAAACTAATACAGCAATGTTTTCTGTTACAAAGAACTCAGAAGGACCACAACAGCTCAGAATGTATTCAATACCAGAGATTCCTATTTGAAATCTCTGGTTTTATTTTGTGAAACATGTTTGCACACCTAACAGTGTTAACATTGTGTGGAACCCTGCAGCACCCTTGAAAGGGTCCCAAGCCACCCTAGGGTGCCTCAGCACTCTGGTTGAGAACCACTGCTGTAGACCATAAACTGTATATGAGCCAACAGTCTTTCTTGTTGGGGAAAAAAAAGTCAACAGCATACTGGAGTGTCAGGAGTGCAATCTTCAAATCAAGGGAAGTGTTTCTTTACTCTATTACATTAGTGAGGCCTCACCAGGAGTACTGTGTCCAGTTTTGGACCCCACAATTTAAAAAATATATGAACAGATTGGAGAGAGCAATGGAAATTTTTAGTGGCTTGGGAAGCATGCCCTATTATGAGGAAAGGCTAAAGAGCTAGGGTTATTTAATCTGGAGAAGAGAAGACTGAAGGGGGATTTGATAACTGTCTTCAAATACCTGAAGGATAATTATAGAGAAGATGGAGATGGGATTTTCTCTGTGCCATCTGGGGCAGGGCTAGAAGCAATGGACTCAAGCTGCAGCAAAGGAATCTTACTGGTAGGCTGCAATCTTTTGATTATGAGGGTGGTCAAACACTGGAACAAGCTACCAAGAGAAGTTGTGGAATCTCTATCTCTGAAAAATTTCAAGAGCAGGTTGGAGAGACACCTGCTTTTGGATGGGATGGTTTAGTCAGTGATTACTCTGCCTTGAGCAGGGGAGATGA